TATACATATATAAGATAAATCAAGAGTAAATGATAGTAGACAAAAATTTTTATTTGAAATCCCGAAAAAGAATAAACGATGGGACCTACCCAATTAAAATGTGTTCATGAGATATGTCATTGGGTAAATTTATACCCTTTCCTGTAAGTATTAAATGTGTTCTACAATGTAATAGGCGTAAACAGTATTGGATGATGAATTCCATAGCAAAATTTGAAGGAGTCATAAGGCATTAGAATTATCTTCAAGATATCATTTGTTTTATATTCCAATAATTCCATTAGTCTTAGAGAAGAGATCAAAGACTAAAAAGTGTACTATAAGTTCTTAAGGTGATGTTGGGAGTGAGAGTTTGCATCGATGAAGTCCATTCACAATAATGGTGATAATGCGCATCGATATTTCTGGCCAAGTGAAGTAACAAAGTTAGATGACTTGGTATTGGTATTAATAACATGGATACGCTTTATATGCCATGACGTTCTTTGATGTTATTAGTGACAGCGGACGATGAAGTCGTTAGCATCGGCAGGCGATGAACTCGAGCAAAAAAATTTTGCTGATGGAGCATGAATTAAAATTCAAGAGATTAAACAAGCATATTTTGAACATAATAACAGTCCAATAAATAAGCAAAATAATACAAAGCGCTCACTTTTTGCATAATAAATTATATAAAAATATGTTAAAAATAGATTGATTATTGTAAATGTGAAAAAATTGTTCATACGTTGAGACCAATAGCTAGTTAAATTCAGCATATGGCAAGTGGTCAAAATCATAGATCATCAAATAGTACAAATAATATGATTTTCAGAAGTAGCGAAGAAATTTGAATTGAAAACAAACCAAGTAAAGAGTCGCCATCTGAACTAATATATTCAACAGAAAAGTTAATATTTCTTGTTTAGTTTTTTATTATTGAGCTCTCTTTATATTTATATGTATCACATGATAATCCTATCTAAAGATAGTATTTTAATGCCCTCTTGAAGAAAATTATGCATCTTCGGTAACTCTGAGAATGAATTATTATATCACCCATTAATTAATTCAAACTGTCCAAATAATATGTTAAGCTGAAAATTAAAAAAATAAATATGTAAAATCATGTTCTGTTGACATTCATTTATCAAATAAACAAACCTTAATATTTCAGGTAAAAATATTAAAAGAGTGCAATACTTTTAATTTTGGGACATTTAGATTAATTAAGACAAATTTATACATGCATCACATACAAGAGTGACAAACCCAAAATCTTTTAGTTGGTAGCCAAGACTAATTAAGACTCCCAACTAACAGATCAAAGTGAGTTGCGTAATATACCTAAGTAAGAACTTAATAATCTTACTTAAAGCAAATGATGAACCTGCTGATGAAATTCAAAACTAATATAGTAATTTTCAAAACGTTGAACTATGCAAAATCTGTTAACTCTACCGCCTTCATATTAATAAGTTGGTTAGTACCCACCGTTGCTTAGTTTGGTTGGTGGGCGAGTACGGTTGGGAACCCCAAACCATGCTCGATTCCCCTCGAGCGGTAGCTCATCTTAAGTGGGGCCTAATCAAATGCGGGTCAGGAGTTTTCTTGAGTGTGTGTCACTTCTAGGTCAGCTGATGATTACACCGCCAAGTGCAAAAAAAAAAAAAAAAAGTTGGTTAGTGTACGGTGTACCAGCTCAAAATGCAATTTTCAGAAATATTTTCTCAGGCAGTTGCTTTAGTTTATGCAAGTACCGTTTAAAAACTTAGTTATAAGAATGCAATAAATAATGCTTATTCTTCTCAAGTTCCAATAACTGAAAATTTAATGGGGATTTAGGTAGCCAATGAACAATAAGTTGTTGAGTTGCTAGGTAAGGGCATAATTTCGGCTTTGAGGTACAACATGATTATTTTATTATATATGAGTCTTCATGCCCTTGCGATAATGATTTTTTTTAAAGTTGAAGAGAGTTTTTCGGTGAATATAATATGACTTCAACTTCATTCATCCATTATGAGCTTCATAGAGTTCAGAGTTCATGTTGAAAAGTTAGAGCTTTATTCAAAAGGAGATGTAGGTGGATGGAAAGTGCATAAATTTCTATTATAAGTCTCGTTTCCAAACTTTTATAAAGAAGGATGAGGTTTTTTAGAGTTTAAATTTAGGTGCATTAAAATTTTTAAAATCTTAGCAAATATATATAATGTCTTTTAAATTGTCATGCATCGTGTTTCTACGAAATATCAAGTAGGTTCTTATTATGTTATCCATTTGTTTGAAAATAAAAGAATTATGGCTATCATTGGGTCGCACCTGATCGATGCTTCCTCATCAATCTGTCTGGGTGCTTTGTGTATAAACGGATGTTAGAGTTAGATGTGTGAAACTTGACCAATTTTGATACAAGGCTAATCGTTACTTGTATAAAATGATGTTGCAATATATGCTACATTTATTTTGTAATGATGGAGCCTCAAAAAAATTTGTTAAGGCGCAAAAATCTTCATAGATGCCTTGTTAAATCTTTTGGTGGTATGTTCCTAAGTATTCATTTTCATAGTCTCCTTTTATGCATTTGATGCATTCTCCGAAGACACTGGCCTACTCGATGATTATTTGTCAAGAAATTATCCTTGATTATTAAAGTGATAGATTTAACAGTAATTATAACATGCACAAACATGCAGATTTGCGGTGGTCATAACTGTCACGAATATGTTCATGAAAAACTAATGTCGAGAGTTGTGGCAATTTCAACATTCTAATCACTTTTCTTTGTGGAAGGATGATGGCCTATTGATTACAGAAAATAGCTACATATCTACATCATGAATTAAACCATATTTATTTTATTTGAAATGCTTACTTTGGTATAATAATTGTGCATCTCGTCCAAAAAAAGCAAAACTAAAATTTATCCTAAGAGCCTATGTGTAGAGCTGTCAATTTTTGACACGACCCAAAACACGACCCGAACCCGACCCGGAAAAATCCGGGTTTGGGTCAACCCGAACCCGAAACGGGTCGGGTTCGGGTTGAACAAATCAACCCGTTTTAAAAATCGGGTCGGGTTCGGGTTGACCCAGCAACCCGAAATTGACCCGAAAGTGACACGAAAACTCATATTTGACCGGAAAATCCGAGATTGACCCGTTTTTACCCGATTTTGACCCGAAAATCGAATATTGACCCGATTTTGACCCAAAAATTAGCATATTTAGGTCAACTTCGGGTCATTCGTGTCGGGTCGGGTTGACCCGGACCCGAATCAGGTCAGGTTCGGGTCCAGAAACATGACCCGTTTTTAAAAACGGGTGGATTCGGGTAGACCCGAACAGTGCCGGGTCAGTTCCAGGTTCGACCCGAACCCGACCCGCTGACCCGAATTGACACCCCTACTTATGTGCAAGCATTTCAAAAGAAACCCTAGGAATGAAACCACAAGGATTTCTAAGAATTAAATCACAAGCAAAACAAGCATTGCAAATGAAACCACAAAATAACATTAGAAAACAAAAATTATGTGAAACCATAAGCTAGTAACACATGGACATAGTAGGGCCGAGCATGCTTACATGAGCGTGAGCTCGGGTAACAGTGGCGGAACCATGTTGTAGTTAGGGGGGGCAATTGCCCCCCCTCAAAAAAAAATTTTGTTTTTTATAAGAGAGAAAAAAAATTTTTTATATAGAGAAATTTTTTTTTGCCCCTCCTAAAAAATTACTTTTGCCCCCCCTAAAAAACTATTTTGTCCTAACTTGTCCTAAAATGTCTATATTATTCTTCAAATTTAATTTTAATATTTTTTTTCGTGTTTTTCATGACAATTTAATTACAATTGTGACATTTGCACCGGTATATATACCGGCAATCAAAACTGGTGCAAAAAGCTAGTTTTGGCGGAAACCGCCCGTAACAATTGCTACCAAAAATTATATATTTTAGTAGTGAAGGCTGTGAACTTATATGTAGTTTGGCAAACTATGTGAAAACCAACAAATCTGATTTGATTGTATGCCACATACACATGCATTATTGCATAGAGTTTTATAGGGATCTAGTCTGATAGCCCACTGCCCTGTAAACGAGCCAACCACAACAATGAGCATTTGTTGTAAGTCTCATAATTGAGATTGAGATACGCAGGAAGGTGGGGGAGGTCCAAGCCTGTACGACATCTTCAAGCTTCTAATATGCTCACATTCAAATTATTTTCGGGTCATTTAAACTGCCGCAATGTGATAATCTTTCCACCTATAAAATTGCATCGTTTGGAATAAATTTGATTTCTTATTTTTTAAAATACCTTACTTTGTTACCAGTTTAGCCCTTTTCAGTAAAAAAATCAGGTCATTTGCTCATAGATAAATTGCCAAAGTATTTTTTTTATTTTACTAACTTATCATCAACATTATAATTTTTTTGTTTCATTCTTCATAATTTTATATCATGTATTTCATAGTATTTTTTGTCACACTGCTGGTCAGGATTCATATAGAAAATATAATCAGTAAAATAAGTATTTCCTTAAAGCATTATATTTCCCTCCCACCTATCATTTAGTTCTAGTATGAATTTTCTATTTCTATATTAGTCATCAACAAAATATCAAATTTCACGTTTATTAAAACTGTAACAATAGAAAAACCTAGGCTGGGAGGGAATCCAATACAAAGGAATTAAAAAACAACACAAGTTAACCAAATGATCACCATTAGTTAATCTGGCCAATTATATGCTCTTAAGTAATCATTTCGTGCATACTTGAAGATTAAGAAGATAACGTATCTTATTTGTCGGAGGTGGAAGATGACAACAGAAGGAGCGACAGTTGAAGTCACATGGGGTGTGAGGCCCACAGCTCCAGCCAAACCCCCATGCATGTGCATTTGTGCATTTCCCCTTCCACCTCTTAACTCCAAATCCTTCTTTCCCTTCTCCATAGCTAACCACTCCTCTTCCCCACCCCCCCAATCCCGCCTCCTATAAGTTCCCTCCCTCCCTCCCTTCCCTCTCCACACCTCAAACCAAACCAAGCCAATTCTCAACAATGGCGCCATCACTCTCCCTCCTCTTCTCCTTCCTCCTCCTCGTTGCAGCGGCCTCCGCCGATGACTACGGCTGGGAAAGCGCCCACGCAACCTTCTATGGCGGCGGTGATGCCTCCGGCACAATGGGTGAGTCTTTAGCTCTATGCACTACGTAGCTTTTAAATATACAGAATGTGGAGTGGCGGATCATAAAGGCATTTGGTTTTGTATGGTTTATAGGAGGCGCCTGCGGTTATGGAAATCTGTACAGCCAGGGGTATGGCACAAGCACGGCGGCACTAAGCACCGCCCTATTCAACAACGGCATGAGCTGTGGATCTTGCTACGAAATGCGGTGCGATGATGATCCTAGATGGTGCCTAGCCGGCTCTATAATCGTCACCGCCACCAACTTTTGCCCGCCCAACAACGCTCTGCCCAACGACAACGGCGGCTGGTGCAACCCTCCCCTCCAGCATTTCGATCTCGCCGAGCCCGCCTTCCTCCAAATCGCTCAATACCGTGCTGGCATTGTCCCCGTTGCCTTCCGCAGGTTAATTTCTCTTCTTTATCCTCAATTATTTATTCCCCATTGATCGCAAGTCTCATGAGCTGATTGATACAGAGTCTCCTGTGTGAGGAAAGGAGGGATTCGGTTCACAATCAACGGACACTCCTACTTCAATCTGGTGCTAATCACAAATGTGGCTGGCGCTGGTGACGTGCACGCGGTGGCTATTAAAGGATCGAAAACCGGATGGCAAACAATGTCGCGAAATTGGGGTCAGAATTGGCAGAGCAACTCGTTTCTCAACGGGCAGAGCCTGTCCTTCCAAGTGACCACCAGCGACGGCCGCACCACTACTAGCTACGATGTTGCGCCCGCCGGATGGCAGTTCGGGCAGACCTTTGAGGGTAGCCAGTTCTGAACGTTACGGCGGAATAATTAAGAGTTGTGAGCCAGATTTGGAGCTGTGGTTGCTTCATATTGTTTAGCACCCGCTGTGGCCTTTCTCATTATAGTTAGGTATAATAGTTAACTAGAAATATTTATTAAGAATTTGTGCAGGTTAAATGGGGTGTTATGAGCTTGATTTGTGTCAGAAAGGGGCCATGGGAAAGGAGTTTCTAGATTTGTCATGTTGTTAGAGTAGGCTCTGAGAAAGGAGATCTGGGCCTCACATGGGTGATATAAATTAGTGGTTCTATTGATAAAGAAATTATTGGTTGTTAGTCTTTACGATGCTTCACTTGATTGTTTGCGGCGCTTTTTATTAATGTGGGTTGTTGACATCTTCACTCTTCTTGTGTAAGATCAGGCTTCGCATGGATTTTAAGTTTTACATTATTTAACCTTTAAAAAACAAAATTACCTCATTTTATTATTATTATTTTTAAATATAGTTTTTTATTTCTTAATATGTTGAATGCCGCATTTAATAATGCTTAATAAAAATTACTGTTCGGCGCCACTGGAAGGGCGCCGCAAAAAGTTATGGATTTGGTCATTTTTTAATGGCACAAAAAGACCAAAATGCCCTTTTGGTATCTTTTAGATTAGATAGATTTTTTTATGGATGGAAAGGAATTGAAAACCTTATTATCCCAAGCTGGAACTTTTATTTGGAGGACGTAGTTCTATGTTCGGCCGCCAGTAGAATCGTGCCACGCGTTCTCACTATTTACCGTGCGCCCCGACAACCCGACCCGGAACGGACCCAAGATGGCTCGGTACTTCTCGATTTTGCTAGGTATTGCTCGGTATTACTTGGTATTGCTAGGTATTGATCGATTTTGCTTGTCAATAATCAATACCGAGCAAATACCGAGTAATGCCGAGTTGTACCGAGTTTTTCTATTACTCGGTATTTGCTTGGTATTGGCCTTCACAGAGTGGTACTTCTCGTTATTGCCATGCAATACCTAGCAATACCCAGCAATACCGAGTAATATATCGCAATACGCAAACATAGCATTCCCGGGTTCCGATTCGGGTCAAGTCATCGGGCCGCGCAGTAGAGAGTAAGAGCACGTGGCGACATGTTATTGGCGGCCGAACGTAGCTCTACGTCTAATCAGAGGACGTAATAATTGTTCCCCAAGCTGTGTTTAGATTTTTGGGGTATAAACAAGTCAAATCGGGCTTGAGCCACTTTTAATTTGAGCTTTTACTTCATTAATTAGTTGAACGGCTTATGGGCTAGCTCATTTAAAGAGAGTAATTTCATTTCAAATATGTATTGGGCTAAAATGATAAAGAACATGAAAACTAAGAAAATAAACTATGAGGAATCACTTGAGATTAAGAATAAATGTATAAATTTAAATATTTTTTCAACTTTATATTTAAATTTTAAAATTTTAATATATTTTAAATATATTTAATATTAGTTTTTTTAAATAAGTAGGCTCATTGACTAAAAAGTCAAGTTTGAGCTGGTGATCTCATTATTCTCAACTCATGAGTCGACTTGACTTAGCCGAATTGAGAGGTAAGGTATCCTTATACTAGTGACAATTTCCCTCATATGCTTTTGTGATTTCTATTTGCTTCTAACTTTACACAACACAAGCAACATCTACTTTTTTTTTTCGAAAAATTCATCATTTTTGTTGAAGAACTCAACACGAGTTGTATAGTTTTTTTTTTATAAGGAATTATATCAATTTATCATAACGTTTTTTTTTTTTGGGTGATGCTTTGAGTGTGAGATATTTCACTCTATCATCAGCACCTCGAGGTCCGGTTATATTCTCTAAAATTTATTGTAAAACTTTTCTAATGCTTTTTTTTTTTAACAGAAACTTTTATAAATAAAATAAGCTGAGATTACAACAGATAAAGAAGGAAAAAAAGGGAAACAAAAGAGGAAAAATATAACCAAAAAGCGGGCTCAGGAAACGGCCAAGGCTTCCAGCGTCCCTGAATCCACGCACGGGCCATCCAGAAAGGTGAAGCTAGCAACCACCTACCAACTGACCCGAAAAGAAACCACACCAACGGTTGCCACACGCTAGACAACAGAGATACGAGCCCCAACCACATAATAGCCCTGAATCTATCGCCTCAACAAATCGAACAACAAAAGCACAAAAAATTCTTAAAAAACATGGAAGCAACAACATAACACTTTAAAAGATAATTATCGTCTACGCCGGCCTCTCCCAGTTGGAGATGCCCTAACTTTACGCAATACAAGCAGCATCTACTTTTTTTTTTCCGAAAAATTATCTTTTTGTTGAAGAACTCAACACGAGTTGTATAATTTTTTTATAAGGAATTATATCAATTTATCATAACGTTTATTTTTTTTATTTTTTTATTTTTTGGGTGATGCTTTGTGTGTAAGATATTTTACTCTGTGATCAGCGCCTCGAGGTCCGGTTATATTCTCTAAAATTTATTGTAAAACTTTTCTAATGCTTGTGAACATGTTAAGCACAACAAATAATTTGTTTATTGATACAATGCTTATATAGTTCTAAAACTAAATTTTATTTTATTTGAGGGCACATTAATATTTTTGGCATTATCAAATATATAAAATGTTACAGTTAAACAAGCAAAAAAAAAAAAAAAAAGACCTAGAAACAAAAAAAACGGAAATCAACACCATTTCATTAATATTTCATAAGAGTTTTTCCAACAATTGCTTTTCACTTGATTTTTTATACAACAGCAATAGTATCAAATGAACAGTAGCGGATTCCTACTTAAAAAACTAAAAAAAAAAAAAATCTATTATATGATTATTACAGAGATTTTTAAGCAATTGGCCTCTAACATAATTAAACACATTGAATAAAAGTGTTATTTATGAGTTCTCCCTACCTAAGAACTAAGATTGATTCCGCCCCTACAAATGAATCATACTAAATTTTACTTTTCATCATTGTTCTTCTTATGCAGTTTAACTAAAAGTTCTCCAAATTTTATTTATTTCAATCTATCATCTTGCATGGCCGTCAAAATCAAAAGACAGTATTGACATGATCTGCAAAATGAAAACTCTTTGTCTATCAAATTTTATCAATTTGTATAATGGTTTAATCATTCAATAAGTATTGCCGCAATTTTTTTTTTGCTGCTCTAAGAACCGATCACAATTTCTTTTAACCAAAAACTAGTCAATGCAAGCTCATCGTAAAATACTCCAAAATCCTAATGATAATTAGGGGTGTCAATTCGGGTCGACGGGTCGGGTTCGTGTCGAATCCGAGTTGACCCGGATCTAAATGGGTCAACCCGAACCCGACCTGTTTTTACAAACGAGTCGGACATTTCAACCCGGACCCGACCCGCGCAGGTTGCCAGGTTGACCCGACCCGACCTGCGCAGCAGAGGGCGAAGCTCGCGAGTCGCGACAGTGCAAGTGCGGAAGGAGCCCGCTGGACCACGCGTGCGGACAGAGTACTCTGGACCTGGACCGCGCGACGGCGCCAGTTTGGCGGTCCGTGGGACCGCGCGTCCGGGACGGAGTCCTCGGGACTGTGGTCCGTGCAACGGCGCGACTTAGTCTGCGCAAGTGCGGACTGGGACCACGCGTGCTAGAAAACACGTAGATCAATTGAGCTTCAAGTTTGGCGCATAAGATAAAGATTATGCGACCAATTGGATATTGTTGATAGGGAATGACAATGTATCATCGATTAGGTACTGGGTTGCTATGTACTTCACCTATAATGGTGCTATTTTCAATAAAGCTTCTTAGAATCTCTCTATTGTGCTTTTCTTAGCTGAAACAAAAGAAGTCCTTATAGAAGTTTCATCTCATTGAGTGTGGAAGCCATTTGGTTAATCAGACACTCACAAAGGATTTTTTTTTTGGCTGATTTTTAAGCTAGATTAGCAATTGTGCTCCTTAAATCCAAGAATCGTCTTCCACTACTGTATATGTTATATATTATTTTATAGAATGTAGATACCCTTAAAAATACTTCTTTCTCATGGAGCCGAGGAGGAGGATCTCTAATTTTCTTAGGTGAAGCAAAAGAATTCCTTATAGAAGTTTCATCTCATTGAGTGTGGAAGCCATTTGGTTAATCAGATACTCGCAAAGGATTTTTTTTTTGGCTGATTTTTAAGCTAGATTAGCAATTGTGCTCCTTAAATCCAAGAATCGTCTTCCACTACTGTATATGTTATATATTATTTTATAGAATGTAGATACCCTTAAAAATACTTCTTTCTCAAGGAGCCGAGAAGGAGAATCTAAATCACTATCACTTCTCTGAATTTATCGCTCTAGTTTTTATAAAGATGCTTGATCGATACAAATGTATGGTGACAGTAAAAGATAAGAACACTGTCACCATATTCCAAAGAGAATATTTTTCTATGCCCCATATAGTAGGGACATGTCAATCTCCAAAGAGTACTCTACCCATACAACATGTTACATGCATGAAAATCATTAATCATCCATATGATGATGGATTGCATTTAAAAATACTTTTTTTAATATAATTATAAGAAATCACTCTTATATTTCATAATTATTTCAGTTTATAAATCAATAGTTTTAGAAAGACATAAATTTTTGTTTAACTTTTTGAACCTAAAATAATTAATGATAAAAAGATTGTTTTATGTACATCTATGATGTTAAGTTTTGTACAACATCAAACACTAGCCAACATGTATATCAAAATTTTAAATTCTTGAAATGATTATGCTCATTCATACATGGCCAAGTCAACTTTGTGCACCTCTAAAACAAACATAAATATGATCAAAGTATCATCGAGCATCACCGTCAAATAAATGTGTCAATATTACCTTAGAGATTTTATTTATGGCATGCCAAAGTATTTTATTTCATATTGAACCTTAAGGAAAGCCTAATTAGCTTGATGGGATTGATAGTTTTATGATGGATTAAATATGTCTGCAAGATTTATAATCATAAGATAGGGATGACATAAGTTAGGATTTTATAAATTATGAATCTTATAGGCTAATTAACAATTTACTAAGACTTACCCTAAGAGGATTCCAAGATTTGGTTGACAAAACTTTACAATTGTAAAGTTAAATGCCTTAATAATATAATGACAAATAGCATAGCATTGTCCTAAGTAGGATATTTAATGTTTAAGTTGCAAAATGTGAGTTCTTATATTACGTCCAATCATCAGGTCCTTTAGTTAACTCCTCTGTGTGATTGAAATATTTTTTAACGAATATATTCATCTTTATGAAGAATTGTAGAATATGTGCGAGAAAAAATATTTTTATCAGTTCAAATAAATTGTAGTCAAAATATCGTTATAGAGAGTTAGAATTCTATCAA